CGCCACCATGCCCAGCTAATTTTTTGTATTTTTAGTAGAGACGGGGTTTCACCATGTTGACCAGGATGGTCTCGATCTCTTGACCTCGTGATCCACCCGCCTCGGCCTCCCAAAGTGCTGGGATTACAGGCTTGAGCCACCGCGCCCGGCCTATTTTTTCTTTCTTTACTTATTTTATTTTATTTTATTTTATTTTTAGAGACAGGGTCTCACTCTGTTGCCCAGGCTGGAGATCCTCCTACTTGAGTCTCCTGAGTAGCTAGGACTACTGATGCATGTCACCACACCCACCTAATTTTTCAATTTTTTTGTAGAAACAGTCTCACTACATTACCCAGGCTGATCTCAAGCTCCTGGCCTTATGCAATTCTCTCACCTTGGCCTCCCAAAGCACACTGAGATTACAGTCATGAGCCACTGTGCCTGGCCCCCAGTATGTTATTTTATAAGACTTTTTCTTCTATGTATGTCAGTGCCATTGGTCCATTCTGGTACCTATTAGATTCTGGTATCAGGTTTCTTGTTAACTTTGTAAAAAGAAGTGGGGGCTTTCCCATTTCTTGCCTCATACTCTGGAGCAGTTCGAGTAGCATAAGTATTGTTTCTGGTCCTGGATGTTACGGTCGGACTAATATATAGCTCTTCTTGAACTCAGCACCCTTTACTGGGGGAGAGGTGCAGAGATTAGTTCTTTGACAATGCCTAGAGTTTTTTTCACAGTGATTTGGGATTTCAAATTCTCCTTGGATTTTTCTTTAAAGAAAAATTTCGATGTGACTTTAGTTATTGTTTCAGAACAGATCTGTGTACCAGGGTAGAAGCCGGCCTTCCCACTGCAGAAGATACCTCCTCAACCCTGCCGAGCACCCACGGCCTCTCTCGCTAGTCCACCCCTTCCAGGAGCCCCTGACATGTCAGGCAGCATGCTAAAAGCCACCAGTTTAAGGCCAGTGGTTGGTTGGTTTCGTTTGAGACAGAGTCTCGCTCTGTTCCCCAGGCTGAAGTGCAGTGGCACGATCTCGGCTCACTGCAACCTCCGCCTCCCAGGTTGAAGCAATTTTCCTGCCTCAACCTCCCAAGTAGCTGGGACTGCAGGTGCCCGTTACCACACCCGGCTGATTTTTTTATTTTTAGTAGAGACGGGGTTTCACCATATTGGCCAGGCTGGTCTTGAGCTCCTGACCTTGTGATCCGCCTGCCTCAGCCTCCCAGAGTGCTGGGATTACAGGCGTGAGCCACCACGCCCAGCCAAAGGCCAGTGGTTTTATGAACACCATCCTATTTAATCCAAGTGTGAGAACAGTAAAACAGCCCCTGCGTTACCGATAGGGAAACTTATTCTCCAGTGGATTAACCCGCTTACCCACGCTGCTAGTGAGTGGTGTAGGCAGGGCTCCAACCTCAGCCTGACTTCATGCTCCTGCTGCAGTCATCCCACAGAACTTCGGAGGTATAGGTCAACCCCCAGAAACACTCCAACATTACACCCTAACATGTGGGGCGGGGTCAAGGTCAAGTGGGAAATGTAACAGTTGAAAGCACAATGGGTATGTGAAAGTGCCAGATGCATGAATTATAAAAGAAGTTGCATGAATTTTGAAACAAGTGGTCATTCCTTATTTGGGAATGGTGTTTAAAAAAAAAAAAAAAAGGGCTGGGCGAGGTGGCTCAAGCCTGTAATCCCAGCACTTTGGGAGGCCGAGGCGGGTGGATCACGAGGTCAAGAGATCGAGACCATCCTGGTCAACATGGTGAAACCCTGCCTCTACTAAAAATACAAAAAATTAGCTGGACATGGTGACGCATGCCTGTAACCCCAGCTACTCAGGAGGCTGAGGCGGGAGAATTACCTGAACCCAGGAGGAGGAGGTTGCGGTGAGCCGAGATCGCGCCATTGCACTCCAGCCTGGGTAACAAGAGCGAAATTCCGTCCCAAAAAAAAACAAAAACAAAAACAAACAAAAAAAACAAACAAAAAAAGAGTAGTTTTTCTCTACACAGGAAATAGGAGCAAAGAAAGTCCTCAAGTGCTCTCTTGTGGAGAGTCACAGCTTGAGCCCACCACCATGGCATTTTCTGAGCCTCCTCCCACCCAAAGTACAAGTTTTGAGGTTTTCCCTCCAGCTCTGTCCCCAGATCATGGCACATCTCTGTGAGTTTAGGCTCCTTTACGGGGATGTGTGCCTAGTGGCAAAGTGCGCATGTGGCGTTTTACAGTTCGTTTGTCCTGGACAGGCTCTGATCCAGGGAAGGATATGCTGACTAGGGCTTGTCTTGCAGGGAGGAGCCAAGTGGCTGGAGTCCAGAGGTTCTGGGTTCAAGTCCTGTCCTCACTGCTCATTGGTTGTGTAGGATGGGGCAGACAGTTGATTCTTGAGCCTCAGTTTTCCCACCTGAAAATGGGAGACTAATGTCTACCTCTCAGGGTGATTTGGGGATTAAAAAGAGTAAAGCAATCCACACAGAGGGTCGGTCCAGGGCTGGCACAGAGGAAGCACTTGCTAAACCGTAGCTGGCGTTATTATCTGTTTGAGCTGGGTAGGCAGTCAAGTGCCTTGCTAAGGACAGCCAGGCAGAGGACCACAAGAATTGGTAGAATCTAAGGGAGAGTTGGGTGGCTGTGCTGGACGGCTTGCTAAAGGTGGACCTGGAGTGTGTCACTGGGTCAGGTCACTTAAAAAGAGGCCTGGGCTGATCTGGCGTTGTGGGTGGCAGGCAGGCCCAAGTCCAGGAGATACAGGATCTTATCTAATCCATTCACTCGCAGCCTAGGATGTCACCTCAGGCAGGTTACTTACCTCAGCCCCCAGTCAATGTCCCTTACACTTGTCCCACCCATGGCGGCACTTAACACAATTTTTGTTTTTCGGGATAGGGTCTTGCTCTGTTGCCCAGCTGGAGTACAGTGGGGCAATCATAGCTCACTGCAGCCTCCAACTCCTGGGCTCCAGTGATCCTTCAGCCTCAGCCTCCCAAGTAGCTAGGATTGAGCCACCATATCCGGCTAATTTATTTTCATTTTTGTAGAGACAGGGTCTTGCTATGTTGTCTAGACTGGTCTCAAACTCTGGGCCTCAAGTGGTCCCCCCACCTCACCCTCCCCAAACACTGGGATTGTAGGCATAGGCTGCCACACCCAGCTCACAAGTTCATCTGAATATAATTTATACTTGTCTTGGGATGGCGGACTGTTCTCCGGAATGACAGGGACCTGGACAAGGGGATAGAGGACAAAGAAAGACTGAATAATGGGCAGGGGGCAGGGAGGAAGGGGACTTCAAAGTGAGACAGTGCCAGGATGCCTCACACCTTTCAGGGTCCATGCAGCATGCTGAGGTGGGCTTGCTTTTACGGAGCATGGGACAGGAACTAGGGACCTGACCCACCAGCAAAGAGGGAGGGCCAGGCCCAGCAGGGTAACGGGCTGGGTCTCAATGGCCCCCAGCTAGAGAGGTTATGGGTGGCCCATTCACAGGGCCTTCCTGAGAGTGTGAGGGCCGCCGAGAGCTCTCTCAGAGAGACCTAACCCTCTGGGCCTAAGTTGGGGGTGATCAGGCCACGCAGTGGGCTCAGGTTTTGATGGACCCTCAGTAGTGGCAGGAGGAACAGTGACTAAGAGTTTCTGCTTGGATTTCCCGGCTTGGGCTCCACCCCCGGCCCTTGATGCTCCCCAGTTATGTGGCCTTAGACAAATCACTCTTAACCTCTTCAGCCCTCAGTTTGCTGAGCAGTAAACTGGAGTCAGGATGCATCTGTCTGCACAGTTATGCGGAGGAGGATTAAATTAGGTGATGTGTTGAGTGGTTAGCACAGTACCCCTACCACAGAAAACCCTTAGGAGAGCCCAAAGGGGAAAAAATTAAGACTTGGATGCAGGCCCAAGGAGTGAGGGATGGGGTGATGGTGGTGGTGCTGATGGGGTGGGTGTGGCGGAAATAGGGAGGCCTGGACACAACCTGGTTATCAGCACAGGGGCCTGGCAGAACTCACCTCCCTCCCAAACCCACACCCTGTCGGCAGAGCTGAGAGCCTCCAGTTGGCCCCTCACCTGGTCCTGGCTGAGGAGAGTCTGCAGAGGCAGAAGCCTAGGGGGCGGCATCAGGCCGCGGGGACCTAGGGACGGCGCCCCCTCCAGTACTTTTCCTCTGTTCTTCTCCAAGGCTGCATTCGCGATTCTACGAGCTGGCCCCCAACCTCGTCCCAATGGACTACAGGAAGAGCCCCATCGTCCATGTGCCCATGAGCCTCATCATCCAGATGCCAGAGCTGCGGGTACGTGCAGGGCCTTGTTGCTGGCGGGCAGGGGGTCTGCACCTGCCCCCAGATGAGCAGCAGAGGCCCCCAGGTCTGGGCTGTGCCCAGCTCCACCCTTTGTGTCTACATGGCTCTGAGCGGATCATAGAACCTCTCTGTGCCCGTTTCCTCATCTGTACTCTGAATAAATAAGCCGTGTGGGCTCCGTAGGGGTGCTGTACGTCGGTGGCCACTCCTCTGCTTCTCCCTTTGTCAAGTGGCCCCAAGCCTGCTGCACTTGGCAGGCCTGCGTCTGCTTCGTTAGATGGTGTTTCTGTCTCCCCCGTGCCCGGCCGTGGCTTCTCACTGACGTCAGCGTGGTGGTCGTCCATAGCATCACTTCTCAATGAGGAGTCGAGTCAGGATTCTGCTTTTTGAGCAAGCTCCCAGGAGAGACTGATGCTCCTGGTCCTCAGACCATGTATATTTGAATGTTTCATTTCAGGAGTTCCTTATCCATAATGTGTAAAGTGCAGTCCACATTGAGAAGGCATTTGGGGCAAAACTCCCCATTACAGTGGGACTTTGTCAGTAGCCCCTTGCCAGGCCCGGGATGTGTGGCTTGAAGGTGGGATCAGAGTGCCATATGACATCCACTTGGGGCCTGCACTCTGGTTGTGACTCCAGTCCTAAGAGACAGTGGGCCCCAGGCTCAGCCATGGACAGGCACTCCGCCTGGCCCAGCGGGGGCTCGAGAGCGGGCTCAGAGGGTTGCTGGAGGGGGTGAGGCACTCATGGGTGGGACCCAAGTGGTCTGTCTCTGAGCCTCCTGCACTGGCCTGGGCTGGGCACAGAATGGGGCTAGCCAAGTGCTAGCTTAGGTGGGATGGAAGGGCTCTGGACGAGTGATCTGGGGATCAGAGGAAGGTGTCTGTGTACAGCTCCCTGGGGGAGGCGGCATCCGAGGTGGTCTGGAGGATTCACAGGAGCAGAGCGATGGCAGACCCGGGCCTGAACTGGCTCTGTGATACTTGCTGCTTGTCTGGCCCAGTTATCTGACCCTACATTCACCTCCCACGATCTTGGCCTGATGCGGCCTGAGCCAAGGTCGCCAGGGCCCTGTGCTGTCATCTTCTTCTGCTGGACGCGCCCTACACATCCAGGCAGAGCCTGTGTGTGCTCTTCTGGGTAACAGGAGGAACCCGTGTTTCCGCTTCAGATGAGGCAGTGCCTCTGGTGAGAACACATTGGCTGGGCTCAGCATTTTTTTTTTTTTGGAGAGGGGATCTTGCTCTGTCACCCAGGCTGGAGTGCAGTGAGACAATTATGGCTCACTGAAGCCTCAGACTCCTGGGCTCAAGTGGTTCCCTCACCTCAGCCTCCCAAATAGCTGGGACCACAGGCGTGCACCACTGTCCCTGGCTGTGCCCATCTTGATGATGTGACGTGACCCAACAGAATGCTTCCCAAGTTCTTACACGTGCCGGGCCTGGTATGAACACCTTACATACTTTAGCTCATTCAGTCCCCTCACGATTCACTTAAGTAGGTGCTATTATGATTCCCTTTTTACAGATGGGAAAACCGAGGCTCAGAGGAATTCCATCCATCCTCCAGGGTCACGCAGACTGTTGGCAGTCTGGCTGCCGGGCCCTCCTGCCTACCCTGCACCCACAGTGATTGCTGTGCGTGTCATGTGTTTTCTTCAGGAGAATCCCTTCAAAGAAAGGATTGTGGAGACGTTTTCCGAGGATGGTGAGGGAAACCTGACCTTCAACGACTTTGTGGACATGTTTTCCGTGCTCTGCGAGTCGGCTCCCCGAGAGCTGAAGGCAAACTATGCCTTCAAGATCTACGGTAACCAGGGCTTGAGGAGGGGGCCGTGAATGTGAGGGGGGCAGTATTTGGGGCATGGGGCTGTCTGATGACTGCTGGCTCCTGCCCTGGGGACACCAAGGACAGTGAGACTGATCTGTCCTCTGAAGAGTGCCTGTCCAGTGGGCTGGCCAAGGGAGACATCAGTGCCTGAGAGACATCTCTAGGGGTCCTGAGAACAGAGGAGGGAGGCCCTTGCCCACCCCAGATTGGGTGGTGAGTGTGAGGGGGGTCGCAGGCATGACCTGTAGGCAGAGACAGCAGAGGCTTGGACTGGAAAAGCGGGGCTGGCAGGCCTGGCAGAGGGCATAGCCCGTGCAGATTCAGGGAAGCGCAGAGCTTGGTAAGGAGGTGGAGAAACTTGGAAGGTGGTGGGGTGAGGGCGGTGTGAGTCCGGAGAGGTAATTTGGGGCCAGGCTGTGAGAGCCAGCCAAGGAGTGTGGACCTAGTACTCCGGACACCAGGGCCACTGTAGGGTTTCCAGTGGGGAAGTGTAGCTCTCTTTTCTAGAAAGATCACTTGGCAGCTTTGAGGTGTAAAATGGAGGAGCTGGAGAGGCTGCCTCGGCCATGGTGGTGAGGTCAGCCTGAAGAGGGGCCTCTGGAGCCCCCTAACACTGCCAGAAGTAGGGCCACTGGGTCAGCCGCCCAGCCCTGCCCGTGGGCCTGCTGCCTCACCAGCCACCAGGGGGCAGCAGGTACTCACGAGCCAAGGACTCGCGCTTCTCCCACAGCCCCAGGGAGAAAACTTCACAACAGACCCATGGGGACTCATGTTAGATCCTCAGACAGACCTTAGGTGAGATGGCTAAGGCTAACGGAGGGGCTGGGACCCAACCTGGACCCAAAGAGTCAAGGTCAAACCACCTGTCCTCAGCACCTTTGATCAGACGCTGGACCCCAAGGCAGCAGGGCCTACCAGGGGCTGATGTTTCCCTTTCTAGTTGTGTTGACTTTGGAGGACTTTGGTTTCTGTCTGTACACCCACATTTTGCTTGCATGTCAGAAAGAAAATACCTGCCAGTCTACCATCCACAAACTATGCCCACATGGCTCATATAAAAAGCCTTCCAGATTCCACCCAACATCAGCGCAGTCTCAGACCCCCCAGTATTGCTCCTGGGAAGGGCTGCTGTCTGCCCAAGACAGGAGTGCAGGTCGCATGGACCAGCGGGCACAGGAATGTACGGAAGAACTGTGGCTCCCTTGCTGACCTAGGCTGGGGGTGGAGTGGGGAAAGGCAGCCAGGGTGATTCTGGTGCTAGGGAGGCCTGGGGCCTCATTAGCAACAAGAATCATCTCACTTCTGGCCTCAGTTTACTCATATTAAATGGCCACAGGAATCCAGCCAGCCAGCGAATCTTTGCAGACATTGCTGTGTCCCATGTCAAGGGCAAAGTTGAGTCCTACCTGCCACTACCCTAGAGTTGTGCACAGGCCTGTGCAGAGACTGGGTAGAGTCACCCCTAAGAGCTTGGGCTCTAGGGTCCAACAATGACCAGGGATGTGACCTCAGGCAGGTGCTTCCCCTTTTCACCTCCCTGTTTCTTCATGTGTATAGTGGGGATTCAGCTGTGCCTGTCTCATAGGTTTGCTCTGAAAATTAAATGAGAAAGAGCATGTCATGCTCACATCATGGGTCTTCATCGCTACCGTTCGTGTCAGAGTTTGCGCAGTGGGGGGGAGAAGCTCATTTGCAGGGGAGAGGACCCTTATTGCTAGAAAGCTCTGCCACTGGGAAGTGATGTGTGAGCCAAAATGTAAAGGATGACCAGGAGTTTGCTGGGGAGGGCACCCCAGGCAGAAGAAACAGCACGTGTGCAGATCTGGTCGTTGGGCTGAAAATGATAAGAAGAGACTTGGAGTTCACTTTGATGCGGCTACACGTGGCTTGGTCCTCTGAACCGTTCTGCTGTTCTTTGAGCAGTAGTGTTGCCTTTTGCTGGGTAGAATCAAACCATGTTCCCTGCTCTGTGTGCACAAAGGCCAGGCATGGGCCCTCTCTAAGGGCCTTTCGATTCTGAGTCTTCTGAGCCATTGTGGCTCCTGGCCACACACCACTGAGGCAGTGTGGCACAGCTGAGAAAACCTGGGTCTCAGACTCACACAGGCCCAATCAGAATCCCTGCTCTATCTCCATGTGGCTCTCTGACCTTGATTCAATCACATGGCCTTTCTGTGCCCTGGTTTCCTTAGCTCTGGAAGTCTAAAGGGAACACAGGGTCGGCTGTGGGCTAAGGCCAGGAAGGGCTATCTGGCCTACGCCTGAAGTTCTCAGGAAACCTCAGATTTGGACTTTTGAGCTGTTTCAGGATGTGGTTGGACATTTAGTCACTGTCGGGTTGTTGAGGTGGTGGCTGTGGGTGTTTAAGCTATGCCTAGTGGGTGAGCCCTGTTGGGGGCATGGATCCAGTATCCCAAGAGTGTGCATGGAGATGCTCTGGGACATCAGAAGCTGGTGGAGGTAGTGTGACCAGCTGGGAGGAAGAGCTATGGTGTAGGGGTTCCTGGGTGCACCCAACCCAGGCTCGAACGTGTCCAACCCCCACCCGACAGACTTCAACACTGACAACTTCATCTGCAAGGAGGACCTGGAGCTGACGCTGGCCCGGCTCACAAAGTCAGAGCTGGATGAAGACGAGGTGGTGCTTGTGTGCGACAAGGTCATTGAGGAGGCCGACCTGGACGGCGACGGCAAGCTGGGCTTTGCTGACTTCGAGGACATGATCGCTAAGGCCCCTGACTTCCTCAGGTGCTTCTACTAGAGGGGCTGAGCTTGGCAGGGCAGGGCAGGGCAGGCCGGGATGCCGGGGCTGCGGGCCCCTATCACTTGCTTTTTGTGAGCATGCTGTGTGGCCAGGGAGCAGGAGGTCACAGTCAAGGCCCCCTTGCCTTTGATGTGTGACTGGCCCTTGACCTCTGGAGGGCCAGACTCTGATGTGAAGGTTGAAGACCTGAGGGCCCCTTCAATGATAACTAGGGGCAGAGCTCCCTGGGCACCGCTGTCCCCCCCAAGCCTGCCTTCCCTCCCTGTTGATGACTCGCATCCTGTCTGCAGGGGGTCCTAATGAGGCACTGTCCAGCTCAGGGAGGGGCTGGGGCCTGGTGTGCTTTTCCCTGAGGAGCCTTTACCTGCCCGACCCCGGGGCCTCTCACTCTCTCTTGCCTATCTCTCTTTCCAGCACTTTCCACATCCGGATCTGAGGACACGGCAGAGGTGGCAGGGGCCTGGAGTCCACCATCCTTCCCTGCGGTCACATGGGCGTGGCCTCCATGCTCCCCAGGAAAGCAGGGGCAGCCTCTGGGGTTTACACCACGAATATTTCCTGTGGCCCTTTCAGCAAAAAAACTAACCAGGAAGGGGGCGTGTGAGGGTTAGGACCCTTCCCACAGCCCCCCTGTGGTCCAGCCCCAGGACCCATGGCCCCTCTCCAGGCCCTTCACACCCCCAGCCCTCTTCCCATCCAGAAATGCTCCCCATCTCCCAGAGGGAAAGGCAGATCAACCAACAGGACGTGGTGGGGTCTGTCATGTCCCAGTGCTGGCAGACACCCTGGTCACCCAGGACAGAGGGGAACAAAAAAAAGAAGTCAGGGTTTTAACGAGCTATGCAATTTTTTCCAAAACCCAAGGCTGGGCTGCCCCCCACCCCTGCCTGTTCCCCTTCTCCCAGCCTCCTTCACAATGTGAAGTGTGGGAGCAGTGGGCCCAAGGGCTTTGCCCCTGGCTCTGCCTCTGGGTCATGAGGACCACCCTGCCTGCCCTCCCCAACACCATGGGATCCTCACTGGTATGTGCTGTCCACAGATTTGTGAACTCCTGGTAATAAAACACTTTTGCATCCCTGTGTTCTCCATGTCTGCTGATGTTAAGAAATGCTTGAGGGTACCTTTGCTCCTGATCCCTGAAATCCCACCATGGGTGCCTCAGCTCTCAGTGTGAGGCAGTGCCTCCGGCTTTAGGCACTAGCTTTGATTTCAGCGTGTGTGCCTTCGGGAGGAAAACTCATCCAGGCCTCGAGCCTTCCGTGAATTCCCTGAGAGTATTCTGGTTAACATCCGGGACTGCTAACCACACTTCGGGCACAGGGGCAGTTGCTTCCGTCACAATCCTTACAACCCCCAAGGAGGGCGGGACTCTTACAGGCCTATATTTCAGAAGGTGCACAGCCGAGTGGTCACTAAGGGTAGATTTCCCACAAATGCGACCTGAGCCAGCTCTGCCCAGGGTCAGGGCAGGGAAGAGGGGCACCTATGGTGTTCTATCTGGAGATGATCACTTCTGTTTTCTGCATCCTGGGCTGGGTAGTGGGGAGCCGGGCAGCAAGCCAACTGTCCGCCCTTACAGAGAAGGGGACATGTGGATAGGAAAGGAAGTGACACACAAAACAGGAAGTTTCCTGAGGGACGGAGATCCAGGAAGGCCCAGCCTGTCCTGAGGGCACAGCCGGAGCGAGCGGCCGGAGTGCCCTCTGCCCATGCTGGTGCCTCCGGTGCCTGGGCAAGGCCTTGAGGGCTCTTTGGAGGGCTGGGCCACCAGGTTGGTGCTCAGTCTCATGGGTGGGGCTCAGGAGCCACCTGTCAAGGTCAGGACTAGCTGGAGCCACAGGGCAGGGGAGGGTGACCTGGTTATACAGAGATGGCCACCACGTGCCCACTGCCTGGCACCAGATACAGCCCACAAGTGCATCCCAGGCAGCCAGCTGGGCTTGCCCTGCTGGACCACTGGCTTCTGCTCAGGCCCTGGCTGGCTGTGCAGCTCTAGGCAGGTCGCTGCTCCTCTGCAGGCCTTGTTTCCTCATCGATAGCACAAAGGGGTTAGACTGGATGCCATGCCCTTAGGATCTGCCCAGCTTGTACAGCAAGGGTGGGATGGGGGCGGAAGACAGAAAGGAACCAAGGGGCAGGTCCCCAGGAGCCCAGCCGCTTCCAGAGTCAGAGCCATTGCCTCTGAGGCCGGGCCTTCCCTGCTATTTCCTGGCTTCTTGCTCCAATCACCACGAGGCAGAAGCAGAGGATGTGGCTTCTGGCCCTCCCCTCCTTTTCGCTGATAGGGCCACAAGAAGGGGAACTGGTTTTGTTCCCAATAGCAATTACAGGATGTCACTTGGCTAGTTAGAAAGGTGTCCGTTCCAGTACACGGCCTGCCACACATTTGGTAAGTGCTCAGTAGTGGGAGGCAGGTTCAGCCAGTCCGCCTGGGCCTCAGCATGCTCCTCTGGGAAATGGGGGTGCTGACCCCCGCCTTTGGCCAGGCTCACTCCTCTCCAGCCTTGATTCCCTCCTCTGCATGGATGGGAGGCAGAAGGAAAGGAGGACATAGGCGGGAGGTGCAGGCAGCTGGAAGGTCCTCTTCCACCTGCTCTCGGGCAGGCACCTTGGCTGTCTTTGAGCCTAGTTCTGTAGCAGGCTGAATGAGCCTGAAGTTTCAGAGGGTGCCTTCAAGTGAGCTGAGGGCTTAGCGATAACCCCTGGCATGGCCTGGGTACAAGGAAACCCACTGGTGGGCTGCCAGATGCCAGGCCCTCAGAATTTGTGCCTCCTGTCGGTGAAGAAGAGCCTCCGAAGCTTGTCAGGCTGCAAGGAAGGAGAAGATACTGGGGCCTGGGGTTGCTGGACAGGGAGGGAAAGACCCAGACTCCGAGGACCCCTCATTGACCTTGGGTTGGGACTCCAAGCCGAGGAAAACTCATCCAGGCCCCGAGGCCAGGTTGGAATTCTGATGGTTGATGCCACAGGCCTCTCAGTGCCTGAAATCCCACCTTTAGTTCTCCAATTCTGGAGGCAGGGTTCACCCTCTTCTGGCTAAGGAGAGGAGGGGAAAGGGGAATGTGGAAAGGGTGGCGAGCCTCCCTGGTCTCCCTCGACCTGCAGCTGGCAGCCTCAGGATGCACTGGTGTTCGAGGTAGAGTGGGATGAGGCTGCACCCAGGGCCTCAGGGATGGGAGAGGACATGGGACAGCTGCAGGGCGAAAGCAGACATGGGATGTGGCCTCTAAGGTTTTCAGGACTGTCCACTGCCGGGTCTGTGCTCCTGGGAGAGTCAGGATCTTGAAGGCTGCTTTCCATAGGGTGTGTGGGTACAGCACTGCCCTGAGGGAGGAGCTGTCAGCAATTCCTGGGAAGATCTTTCCACTAGGAGTCTGAGCAGGAAGATCTGCGTGTGCCTGAGATCAGAGGCCTTGCCCATGGGGAGGGGACTCCCAGGTTTCATTGTCTCCAGGCACAGGCAGAGTATGGTTGGGATCGAGGGCTCCAGAGAGTTCATCTGTCTCCCTGGGAACCCTGGACCAGCCCCACTCCTGGCCACTACCCTCCACATTCCTGGTCCCCTCTCCTCCTTTCTTATCAGACCCCTGCAGAAACTGAGAGAGAGGGGAAAGGACTCCTGGTCTGCTGCAGAGGAAGTCCTTAGAAGGGTCTGGAAACCCCCATCTTACACCCAAATCTAGCAGCTGCCTCTCCCACCACCACCACCACCACAGAGAGCCTCAGAATAATAGCTCTGTTCAACAAGAGCCATCTCTGGGCTGTGTCTTGAGCAGGAGAGGATGTCTAGCATTAGCCTCCAGGCACCTGCCTCTGGGTACAAGCAGAGGATCAGCCCATTTTACAGATGATGAAATGGAGGTCCTGCGTAGGGTTGCTAAGTAATAATACAGATGCCCAGCTAAATTTAAATTTCAGATAAACAAAGGAATAATTGCGGTATTTGAGACATACTTTAAAATGTTTTGTAATGTTTTGTTTTGATTTGTTTTTTGAAACAGGGTCTCACTTTGTCTCCCAGGCTGGAGGGCAGTGGCACAATCTTGACTGATTGCAGCCTTGACCTCCCAGGTTCAACGATCCTCCTGCCTTTACCCTGCAAGTAGCTGAGACTACAGGCCACCACGCCTGGTAATGTTTTGTATTTTTTCATAGAGATGGGGTTTCGCCATGTTGCCCAGGCTGGTCTCAAACTCCTGAGCTCAAGCCATCCACCTGCCTCCGCCTCCCAAAAGGCTATGATTACAGACATAAGCCACCATGCCCGGCCTAAAAACTATTTGTTGTTTTTCCATAATTCCGGTGTAACTGGTTGTTGTGGACTTTGTCTTGCCCAAAGCTACAAGGCTAGGGAGTAGGGACTAAGGGGCCCTTCTCCTGCTCCCAGAGGCTCTGAGAGCCCTGCAGAGGCTGAGAGGGAGGGGCCAGGAACCCTGATCTGCTGTAGAGAATGCCCTTAGAAGGGCCTGGAAGCCCCTGTCTTACATCCAAATCTAGCAGCTGCCTCTCCCACCACCACCACCACTTCTAGGCAGATGATAGGTCTGGAAAATTCGGGCATTTCTAGGCAGCGGCGGTGACCTGCCCTGCCCATGCCTGGGGGCTGCAGGTCGGTGCTCTCTAAGGGCCGGGAGCCGCCCCACCCCAACATGGAGCTCACCTTGTGTGTCCGTCCGGTCTCCTTGCTCTTGGTTGCTGGGATCTGCTCATAGGTGTTCCCAGGCTCTGGAAGCCCTGGGGTCCCTGAGATCCTCTTGTGGCCAGAGTCCATGGGCACTGACAGTTTGCTATATGTGGGACTGGTCCCAGGATGTGGGGCCCTGGCTGGGCCACTCCGGCAAGCTGGGATCTGCTCATAGGTACTGCCTTCTTGGCCTGGTGCCTTCCTGGCCTCCTGCAGGAGGCCTTCTGTCCCGATGAACTCATAGAAATCTTCAGAGCTGCCCTGGGAGCAGAGCTGAGCCTCTGGGCTCAGCTTTGGAAACTCCTGCCTCCAGGTAGCCCCCAGGGACTCCATGGCATCAGAACTGGAGGACAGGAGGAACCCCCAGGAAGTGGGAGACTCTGTGGGCCCCTGGCCTGGGTTCGCCCCAGAGAGGATGGGCACCAGGCCATCAGGCCTGTTCTGTTCTACATCTGAGAGTCTCTTCTGGGCCTCAGTGCCTGGGGAACAGGACTGGCTGCCGGCTGGAACCGGGCCATGCCTGCTGGACCCCTCTGTGCCCAAGCCTAGCCTTGCCTGGTTTATCTTCCTCAGGTCTGCATAGATGATGTCACTGGGGCCTCCGAAAGACTCTTCCAGGAGGGAGGAACTCCTCTCAGGGAGTGGGGGCAATCTGATGGGATCCTGGAGAGACAGGGGCAGAGAAAGTCTTAAGGGGCAGCCCGTCACTAAGATGCCCTCCAGTAAAACCTCTCTCAGATAAGCCAAGGCCCCCTGTCTTGGCCCTAGTCTACCCGCCTGTACATGCAAGGGTTGGATCTATCACACCCAGGGTCCCTTCCAGCTCTCATGCTCTAGGACTTGTTCTTTTTGTTGTTGTTTTTTGAGACGGAGTCTCGCTCTGTCACCCAGACTGGAGTGCAGTGGTGCAATCTTGGCTCACTGCAACCTCCGCCTCCTGAGTTCAAGTGATTCTCTGCCTCAGCCTCCCAAGTAGCTGGGATTACAGGCTCTGCCATCATGCCCGGCTAAGTTTTGCATTTTTGTAGAGACGGAGTTTCCCCATGTTGGCCAGGCTGGTCTCAAACTCCTGACCTCAGATGATCCGCCTGTCTCGGCCTCCCAAAGTGCTAGGATTATAGACCTGAGCCACCGCACCTGGCCTAGGACTCGCTCTTTACCTTGGCATTCAAGGCCTTGGGTCACCAGCTCTACCTCCCACACAACTTCCCCCTTCCCTGCTCCTCCCGCCTCCACTGTAGTTCACCGGTCCCTCAGAGCCCCCAGACCCACTCACTGCTGCATCTCCCTCCAGAATGCTCCATCTCTAGGTCCATCACTCATTTAACAAATATTTAGTGAGCACCAACTATGTGCCAGACACTGTCCTCGGTGCCAAAGACTTTGGTGAACA